TGCCTCATTGCCTTAAAGGCAGCGTCCGCGATCAACCAAAGTGAAAAAACCCTCCAATGAAAACGAACGCGGAGTTCGCAACCATAGCGGATATCCCACTCTTGCGGCTCGAAATGTATTGATTGACGAGGGCGGAGTCAACAAGGCTGAGCTGACGCCTCCTTCCCTGTTAATCCCGCCCCGACTGGTTAACAGTTATCAGTGCTTGCTGGCATTGATAAACGCTAAGTTTCTGGAGTTCCGAGCCGGCGACGTGTATTGGAGAACTCACCAAAGGTCTGCGAAACTCGTCCACGTATGCCTTAAATTTCGTAGGGTCTTATTTCACGCTCTCCCACAACCTTTTTCCTACTTTTTTTGATTAGTGCTTCATTGGCCACCTGTTCTAACAAATTTGACCCCTGAGACCTGCCCAAAGTCCATCGCGGGCGCTGTCTTTAAGTTTCGCCTAATTCGACGTTGTGGATTGCATTGATCGCATAAAATGCTAACGTATAATTGTTCACTGATACATCCAGCGCCATTGGTGGAAATGCTGGGTGTGGCCAGACGCCTTCTCGCAACCTTCCACCTATGACATTGGCGGCAAGCCCCGCCACCAGCCATCGTGCTCACTGCTTTTAACCTCGAGACACGACGCGTCTGTGTCGTCCCTTTCGCGCTGGAGCGCACTTGTCGTTAAGTACTGTAGATGCGCATCATCAGAAGCTCAACAGCAAAAGCTCTTCATGACACGCCCACATTCATTTAGCATTTGTATCCCGTCCTTGGTCAGGATAGTCCAATCCGCAAGGGAAAGGATGTATCAGGTTTGAGGCTCGCAAATGCGTGATAGCGACGCCACCCACTCCTGACGGATGCAGTGTCCCGCCCACTGTCCAGCGCAACGCCTATTTTTCCTGTGAAGAGGCTTCTTGGTTGTGCAGCGGTTCTGCTACCGGCTTGTCCGAATGTCCAAAAAAAATGTAAGCCATAGAATCTTCAAGTCTTTCCAAAATTTCCACACCGTTAAAATTAGTGGAGACTCCTGTCGGTATGTTAGTTGGAGCTCCTTAGAGCGGCTGGTATATGATCCCTCAATTGAGGAATCCTCAGCCACGCTTGCTCTGATCTACACCTTCTCCATGACCCGTTCCAGTTCTGGCTTCAGCGTTTATCCGAGAAAATGCGACTGAACTGGGTACTCTGTCCAAGGGAGCCTATTTTTCGACCGATGCTTACATGTCGTCTACTTCTGCCTTATCACAGTGTTCGGATCGTTATCGAGCGACAAAATGTGGTGCGACCTGTTCAGGATCGTTCCACCATGTTTCGATTGTCCACACTTGCTGGCCGTTGCGGGGCTCTTCGGTTGAACGTGATCCAAACTGCAGCAATGGCTTCTGGTACTTATTCTCTATTTCTTCATCACAGTGTATCATATCCCGATTATCAAATCGTTTAGCTCCTGAAATGATCAAAGTGGAAAAAGTTGGCGCCAAAGAAGAACGTCGCTCTCATAACGTTGAACCGTCCCAAAGCATTCAATGCTCTTTGCAATCAGCTGATGAACGAGGTAGAAGTTTGAGTTTTTGCCT